GGCGTCCTCCTCCTCCTCCTCCTCCTCCTCTTCGGCTTGCTCGTCGGCCGCGCGCAGCAGTGCAGACTGACGACGCACCGACGCCGAGATGCGCTTGCGATCGTCTTCGGTCGGCACCCCGGGCACCCCGGGCACAGGCGGCACGCTCGGCACGCCCGGCTTGTTCTTGCGCGCATTCGCCTCGAGCTTGCGGATGGTCTTGTTGCGTTCGAGCTGCTTCTCGAGCGTGTCGACGAGCTGTTTGCGGTCGAGGCTGCCCTTGCCCGGCGCGGCGACGTCGCTGACGTCCATCTGGGCCTCGCGCAGCATATCGTACAGCTCGCGGATCTGGATCTCGAGCGCGACGACGCGGTCGATGTAGGCCTTTTCCATCTCGTCCATCTCGTCTCGCGCGGCACCTGCATTGCCGCGCGCGAGCGACAGGTCATCCTCGAGCTTCTCGATCTGCTCCTGCAGCTTGCCGATGAGGCCGTCGGAGGACTGCTTGAGCTTGGCCTCGAGCTCGAGCTTTTCCTGCTCCAGCGCGGTCGCTTTCGCCTTGGCCTTTTGGAGTTCGGACTGCATCGAGTTGATGTGGTCCTGGTCGGCGAAGCGCGAGAGCACGTTGTTGACCGAGACGCCAAGGAGCGACGAGAGGTCGTTGCCCTCGACGGCGCCCTTGCGGTCCATGACGACCGAGGTGACCATCGAGTCGATGAGCTGGTAGTAGTGCACCAGGTCGTCGCCGTCGCGCCGGATGAGCAGCAGATGCTGCAGCGCCGAGAGGAAAAAGTCGTAGGCGCGCGAGCCCTCGACCTTGCCGACGATGGCGCGGAAGACGTCGACGGGATCGCTGAGGTCGGTGAGCACTTCCTTGTTAAACGTCTCGACCACGTCCTCGTGGTCCGCCTCGGCGCCCTTTTCGAACACGCCGATCTGCAGGTCCAGGTCGGGATTCTTGAAGGCGCGCATCTTGATGAGGATGCGCTGGAGGCCGCTCGCCTCCATCTGGTTGCGCAGATGCACGCGCACCTCGAACTCGGGCACGATGTCCGAGTTGAGGATGGCGTTGATGAGAAACATGTTGTTGATCGCATACTCGTTGAGGCTCGACTCGTGCGGTCCGACCACGCTGAGCTTTTTCACTTCATCCGAGGCGCCGACCATGGAGCCCATCTTGCCGCGTCCGTCGATGGTCTGTTCGAGCACGCGGAACCAGGCGTCGAAGCGTCCGTGGTCGCCCTGGGTCGACTTGAGGTCGTCGAAGGCCTTGAGCACGAGGCGATGGCCCGTGGGCTTGTCCCAGTGGCACAAGAAGAGCAGGATGTCGGCGGCCTGCTTGCGCGTGGCGAGCTGGAGCGAGATCATGGAGTGGGTGATGCCGCTGATGCACTTTGGCTGTGCGAGCGCATCGTTGGCGCCCGGCTTGGAGTTGAAGAGCGAGCGGAAAGCCTTGAGCACCTCGTACTCGAGCGCCAGGTCGTTGTCCGACTTGATGCCCTTGGCGTGGAGGCCGCTGAGGAAGCTTGCGAGGACGGGCGTGCCCTTTGCCTCGACGAAGCTCTGGATCCAGCCGATGGCGCAGGTGCGCAGCGTGACGGCGAGCGACTCGATGTGCTTGGTGGTGACGGTGCCGTCCATGAACTTTTTGATGAACCACTCGGGCGAGTTGCGCGTGATGACGAGGCCGGAGGCTGCACCTGCGGGGCCAGCACCCGCGGCGTGGTGGCGGCGGTTGCGGTCGCGCTCCTTTTCGGCGTGCCACTCGGTGAGCTTGTCGTTGTAGACGAGCGTCCACTTTTTGTCCACGCTAAAGCCGAGCATGTTGCGGCGCGCGGTCTCCTTGAGCTCGTCCGAGAGGTTGCCGCCGGGGACGTTGAGGAAGTCGCGCTTGTCCATGAGCTCGGCAAAGAGGCGCTCGACGTCGGCATCCGGTGGACGCTGGAGGACAAAGTCGGGCGCCTTGCCGCCGCTACTCGCCACTGGCGGTTGGTAGGAGTCTCTGCCGAGGCTCGAGTGGCTGGTGCTGGTGCTGGGGAATGCCGATTCGGGATTGGGATTGGCGGTGGAGGCGACGGACATCCTGGTGAGCACGTCGTGCGGATGATTAGCGCCGCCGTTGTAGCGGATGGAGGCTGCGTCGTGGGCGATGCTTGCGCTGGTGGTGGAGGTGTAGCGCGAGGACCGCGCGCCATTCTGGCCTGGGAACGACGAGGAGCTGGAGTGCATCGAGTCGTGCGTGCTGAGTCCGTGTCGCGAGGAGGAAGCACCCGAGAGCTGACGGCGATGTGCGCCAAGGCCGCTGGACGAAACTGTAGATCCATTTGCATGCGAGATGATGGAAGCGGACGAGGGTTCGTAATGGTAGTTGGCGTCCGAGTAAGCGCTGGAGCGATGCACGCCGGCGCCTAAGCCAGGATTGCCTGACGGGTTGCCGATGGAGAGCTTGGAGCTGTTGGGGCTTGCGTTGGAGTGGTATGCTGCAGCTGCCGACGAGGAGGCCGAGGAGGAAGCTGCGAGTGCGCCATCGACATGGACGGGCGTGCGACCGCTGACGGTGCGTTCGTATGGGATGGCCTTGTCTGCGGCGTCCGAGTTGAACTGGCGCGAGCGCTTCTTTCTGCCAAAGATCGAGTCCATGCTGGCGGGATGATGTGCGTGTCAGAGCGTTCGAGCCATTGGGCGGCAGCAGCAGCAGCAGCAG